GTACCTTAGGCAGAGACACATCTTTACAGTGTAAGCAAATATTCTACAACACTCCCCATCCAACTCCTGTGTTGTTACTCTACTCCTGTGTAAATATCCACTTCGATCTGGTAAGTCTTTTGATCATAGACATTTCAAAATGAGTTATGTTGTTTACATACACACCCTTATTTTATTAATTGATGTATTTTTGAAACAGTATTTATTTCACAATTTTTACATCTTTGGTTTTCATAAATAGAATATATACTATCATTCCAAGTTAGTGAATATCTATAGCATTGAGTTGATTTTTGTCAGAAGAGCCCATTTATTTATCTATACCAGTTAAGATATTTGAAACACCTATATGTGCTTGCATAGACTCCTGCGTATGAGATACCCCTGGACCACAGTAGAATAATAAGGGGTCGCACTCTTAAAAGTAAACAGACTCCTCCTCCACCAGATCTTTGGTCCACAGATCTTTGGTTAGGGGTTGAAGCTTTTGAACACCTTCCCTCTCTGTGCTGAAATATTGACTGACTTCATCTTATGCAGGCCTTACAGCCTCTGTTCTGTGAGTTCATGATTACCAAGGCCTTGCCATGTCCAGATGACACTGTTTTTACTATTGTCCTCCATGAGCTCTGGATCTTACAGTCTTTTGACCCCTCTTCTGTGATGGTCCCTGAGCCTTGACAGGGTGGCATAAATGTCTCATTTGTAGCTAAGCACTCTACTGATACTCTTTAAACATTGACCGGTTGTGAGTTTCTGCAGTAACCTCTGTCCATTGCACAGTGAAACTTCTCTGATGAGGTCTGAGTTCTTCACTAATCTATAGGAAAAGATATAAATTTAGAGAGTAACTTGATAATTCTTTTATTATCAGAATAATAGTTATAGGTTCCCTTTTGGGGGGTCTGTGAGTATCTCAAACATGGGTTCTTGTCCAGATTTAGAATACTAGGCATGGTTCCTATACAGCTGACCTGACAACCAATCAGAGAACAGTTAGTCACATACCCACACACTTAGCACTTATGCCACTACTGTTCCAGAGGTCAATCTTGCTATACCAGGCAATACTGTAGTTCACAGAGTCCATGGATCTGTAAGACTGTTGATGCCTTTTCTCATAGCACCTTATACAGAACCTTCCAACACAATATAAATTATCTGTGAGGAAAGGAAGCTCCAGAATATACAATGTTTTTTATTATTTAAATTTGCAACAAGCATGTTTTACATGCCAATCCCAACTCTCTCACCCTCTCCTCCCTTCCAACCCCCTCCCAACACCCATGCCATCCCCTTTCTGCTCCCCAGGGAGGATGAGGCCTTCCATGGGGGACCTTCAAAGTCTGTCCTATCATTTGGAGCAGGGCCTAGGCCCTTCCCCATGTGTCTAGGCTGAAAGAGTATCCCTCTGTGTGGAATGGGCTCCCAAAGTCCATTTGTTATACTAGGGATGCATACTGATCCATTACCAGAGGCCCCATACGCTGCCCAGTCCTCCTAACTAACAACCACATTCATGGGGTCTGGGTCAGTCCTACGCTGGTTTCCCAGCTATCAAACTGGGGTCCATGAGCTCTAGGATATATTCTAACACACAGCCCCCATAAACATGTCTTATTTGATTCCATATCTAGTAAAGTTGACACCTACACAAAACTAACCATCACAGGGTGCACAATGATCAAGCTAACCCTGTAATATCATACATCCCTGCACCCACTTGTTATTGGACAATTGAACCTAAATTTCCACCATCTCCCCAACTTCCTTACTGTTCATATTATAAGGGATGGATGATTAATCTGCTTACCTTATTAACTCCATCAAAGAAACTGAAATTACTGTTCCACAGATGTTTCACAAAATGTAGATTATCAAGAAGAAAGAAAAACAAATCCATCAAAATTTAATGATAGAAACCTAGCATAGTGGCTCATGAACCACCCATGAGAAGCTCAGGCAAGAGGATTTTTGTGAGTTTGAAGCCATTTAGCTACATAGAAAGACCAAGTTTCAAAAACAAAGCAGACAAAAAACAACAAAAATACAAGCAATAGTCATTCTTATTTTAAGGCTAGGCAACCCTTTTTTTTTTTTTTTTTTTTTTTTTTTTTTGACAACTCCTACCAGAAGAAAAGAAATACCAAACAATAAATAAAAAGTTATTTGATATAGACACACAAGGCAAGTGGACCTTGAATTTATTATTGGTTTGGCTCCTTTCATTGTGATATGATTTAGAAGCTCAAAATTTCCAAATAAGCTGTTGTTAGAACAAGCCATAGCAAATTTTGTGACCACTGTACTTGGCTCTTACAAGTGCTGCAACTAAAATGTCTTCAAGATTTGTTCATCACTGCTAACCAATACCTGAGATGAAAGGTCTAAGTGACTGATGGAATGAAGTCATCGGTAGGCTTGTGCAAGAGCTCCAACTTCAGCCAGTGATATTTTAGCAGGCAAACTTCCTAATCTCCTTCTGACCAGATACACAGGAATCATATTGTGTGACCTAAAATCTTGAGTACAGCCTAACCTCCCCTCACTCACCCACAAAAGACCTTGCATTGTTGAGAATATTTTGATTCACTTACTCTTGACTGAGACTAAAATTGTGTCAGTCAGATTCTGCATTTATTCCACTTACAGTTGTAACAACTCTGAGGACCCAAAAGTCTACAACTAAGAGAACAAATCAAATTTCTATAACCCAAATACTGCATTTGGATTCTACAAATGACTCTGCCTCTACATAATGACTGATGCAACAACGTTAGCCACGAAATTATATAGTACATGGTTTCTGTGAGGGAAGGTATCCCTAGTACCACACCATTCAGGGTATAAACTTATCTTTAGAGATGAATTTGTTATATCTCCAACTACCAGGAGGCTCTAAACTGTCAGTGACCCATTAGATTACTAAGTCCTGAAATGTGGGACTCAACAAACATGGTAACTTTCCAGATATTGCAGTTTGTGTGCTCAACAAATTAACTCTGTCCTATGACCCTGTATACTTCTGAGTTCTTTTCTCTGTGACCACAATTTGTCAGTATTCCATGGTAAGATTAATCCTCTAGGGGACCACATCTAATGTTTCCACAACACTTCTAAAATGCAGATTCTGCTGCTATCACCTCCTTCTTGTCCCTAATGGGTATGCATACCAAAGTCTGCAAGACTGTGTGTTTCCCTGGTGCCACAGCACAATTCTACTGGCATTTTATTCAAGTGATTCAGTCCCGTTTATCCTTGGACTTCCTCATTGTTATGTCTCCTATCCCTAATTTATCCCTCAGTGTCTCTCTCTCTCTCTCTCTCTCTCTCTCTCTCTCTCTCTCTATCTATCTATCTATATCTCTCTCCATTTGTCTTTTTTTAAAGACAAGGTTTCTCTGTGGCTTTGGAGGCCAGTCTTTCTTAAAAGCACCTTGCCCTCTTGCATTCTAAAAACTACACAGACAGTAAAATCCAAGCTTATTGTCATAGACTTTGGATATTTAAACAGATATCCAAAATACAAACACATCTGTCTGAAGTTATCTGCTACAGAGCTGTTAGATATGCTATCATCCTGTGGCCTTATATCACATACCACACAGTGACCAAGCTGGTAATTACCGTAGAGACACAATATATGGAGAAATTAAAACTTCTTTCAGACTACCACCTGCCTGTATATGGGATACCCCTTCATGACAAGTGGACTTCATTTTTTCCTCCAACAGATATGTCTGTGCTTTCTCGGGACTCATTGAAATTTTGTGCTCCTCCAATTCCATCCTTAATACCCAGCTTTTATAAAATGAGATACAATCATCCAACATAAGGTGGTAGCACACTGTACTGTGACTACACGGCAGAGTTATATTATACATTCCTCTACTTTGTCATTCCAAACTTAAAGCCATGTGGAAACACTCTACTGTCTCCTGCCTTCCCAAATATAATGCCATTTTTTCCTTCCCCCATCAGGCCAGATGTCACCAGTGTCCCATAGCTGTTACAGCATTCCTTATTGTTGCCTGGGGACATGCCAGAGTGGCCATAGGAACCAATGCTCTAACCCAACACTGAAAGTCATCAATGCTAACCAACAAGTTTCCCCCAAACTCCACTATCTCATGTTTCTAAAGTATGACGCATACCAGGCCTGCTTCTTGCAGGTCAGAGAACTCAGTAAATGCAGAGCTGACAATAAATTTGTCATCAAATCTCTATTAGCTAGATCAGCTGGTATATGTAACATTAATTGTTCTTGTTTGTGGTTTAACACCACCAACCGAGGGTCCACTCTAGCAAATCTTGGACCAAAGCTAGCATATTCTATAATTCTAAGCAAAAACCTATAATTTAGGCAAAATGGTGATGAAGTCTCACTTGACTAACTTGCCTGTCCAAAGGAAATACTAAAACCAGCTGCCAGCCAAGCTTCAGTCACCTCAACGTTTCTTAGTCATTTTCTTTTACTGACATGTTAGGATGCTTTCTGTGCTCATCTATTCAACCCTTAGGAAAGTCATTGTCTTCCCTCCATTCTAGAAAATATTTCTATATGTTCCAGGAGTCCCTTCCACTCAAAACACTCAACTATCTCCAAAGTAATCGAGTTAGAAACTGATATCAAGATATCCAGATATCAATAATCACATAAGGCTGTGTGTGTGTGTGTGTGTGTGTGTGTGTGTGTGTCTGTGTCTGTGTGTGTTTCCTGCACTGCCTTGAAGTTGTTTCAAGACCCTAACAAACAGTGACCAGACAGTTTCCTTTCTTGAATAGTTGATTAAGTCCACACCCCAACTACTTCCCTTATCAGGTTCTCATGTTCTGGGACCCATTATCATCTACCCTAATCATTCTGAGGTCAGGCAACAGACAACTTGGGGTAGTCCCATAGACCACCATGATTATTCAGATCAGCCAACCTGGGCCGATAGCTGACCCCACCCTGTCTACTGTATATAAGGAGCTTCCTATTCCTCCACATTGTTGCACCCATCCTCGGGAGGGATCCACATTGTGACCTGGCCAGCAGCCTTCTCTGGAGTTGTAAGTAACACGGGATTCTGTCTGTCGTTTAGACAGGTAGTTTTATGAACCCATCCATCAAAAAAGATCTTATAAATAGAATTTTACCTGTTTCCCAATGTATTAAAGGTACAAAGTTTAAACTCAAGCTTCTCCAAAGCTTTATGGTTAAGAAGCAAGTCTTTAGAAAATCTTGAAACTTGGGGAAGGGATATGATTGATTAATTACAGCCATTCCTTGGTTAATTCAACATTCATTCCTCTAACCAATATTACTAATAGACTTGATTAAGTTTCTTTAAGTACTATAAGCTATGTAAATAACAAATCTAGTCTATCATAATCTCTCAAGCCTCCCAAATATTTTTCAAGTTAGTCTTTCAAAAACTTGAATTTGGCAAAGGAATGTTAATAACTAAGACAATGTTGGTAAAAATAAAGCAATTTCAGTATGCTGCAGCTCTTCTATGATCCTAGCATTCAAGAAGCTGAGGCAGGAGTTCAAGTTCAAAGCCAGACTAGAATACATAGTGAGGCCTTGTGTCAAAAAGTCAAAAGAAAACAAGATCAGTATATTCACTATCCTGGTTTCTCATTCCTTCTAGTACCTCGTAGAGCCAAGAAAACAGTATTGTTTCTCAAAAACTAAAACCGTATAGTTCATGCATCTAAATTTTAAATTACTTTTATTTATTTGATGTGTATACGAGGAGTGGAGCACGCCTTGGCACACATGTGGGTGACAGAGAGCAACTGACAAGTGTTCTGCAATGAGGGTCTTCCCATGGATCAAGCCCAGGTCATAGGGCTTGGAGGAAAGTTCCTTAACCAATGAGACAGTTCACTGGCCCTCATTCATCTGATTTTCCAAAATGTTAGGTTTTGTTGTACATTTCCAGGCTTTACAAAACCTTAGTGCCTTACGTCAATGATTGTAAACATTACTTTCTTGAACTTAACACTAACACAAGCTCAATGGGTTTAACATTCCTTTACGTATCTATCCATTCTTCTAGGATTGCAAAGTCACTTAGTCAAATGAAGGGAAGGGACTTAGGAGACTACAGTTGGTGTTATTGTACTGAGAATTATGGCCAAAGGTGAAGTGTCAATTAAAAAAAAAAACTTAGAGAAAATTAGAAACCTACTTAAGACCATGAAGTTCAGGTCTGAAACAAAGGGTGGCATATGACATACTGTCCTCATTTAACAACTTTCCACATCTTGTAGCCCTTTACCCAATTTTTAAGTAGCCCTCTGATCCAGTTGATGAAAATCTATTTACATTCTAGTGTTCTTTAAATGTAACTAATTTTTTTATTGGATCGTGTAAGCTCTTTATATCTTTCAAACTGATATAATAACAATCATATTATTTTATTGACCATTTCCTGTACAATAAGCACTGTTCTTTGGATGTCTTTTTTACAGCGTTGTGTAAATGTACGTCAAATTCACTACTCTGCAGCTAACTGCTTGCTACCTTCCAAATTTTGAAATTTGGTTTGGCGTGTGCCTGCACAATAGCTCTTCGAAGTCTTCACAGGGCCTCAAAATCAGTCTTGGGTCCTCCGTCTTGCCTGAGCATTCTTTCTGCTCCCTTAGATGGAACATGGAGCTCATTTAGAGCATGTAAGGTTTCCACGGAGATGCTCTGACCTTTTAAAAAGTATTTTAGGTTTATTTATTGTATATATGTGAGGGCTTGCCTGTAAGTGTGTGTGTGTGTGTGTGTGTGTGTGTGTGTGTGTGTGTGTGTGTGTGTGTGTCTGATGCTTGTGGTGGGCCTAAGATCACCTGGAACTGAAAAATGGACAGTTGTAAGCCAATTTGTGGGTGCTGGGTCCTCTGCAGAAACAAGTGCCATCAACCTCTGAGCCATCTCTAACCCCCTGTTTTATTTTCAGATCCATTCCTGCCAATATTTATTTTAATTTTTCTGTTTCTCATAATATTTGTTGTAAATATTGTCTTCAGAAGAAAAATGTTAGGAAAGAAAGAAGGAAAAAGAAAAGAAGGATAGTAGAAAAAGCAAGGAAGGGAAGAAGGAAGGAAGGAAGGAAGGAAGGAAGGAAGGAAGGAAAGAAGGAAGGAAGGAAGAAAAAGTATTTTGTGTTAGTATAGGCAGATAAGCCAGGCGCAGAATTACCTGTGCTAGGAAGCACAGGAAGCTGTGTTAATTTTCTGAAAGTGCCAGAATGAGCTAGATAGACCCTTTATTCTCCAACCTTCTCAGCAGAGCTGCCTGTGTTCCTTTCTGCCTAGTTACTGATTCTCCTTACCTTACCTTACCTTGATGCTTCATAATTATCTAAGGTTGAGCAATAGAGTGCCAAAAGCAAACAGACTTCCGCAGAATGCTGATATTCTTAAATACAATGTTTAAGCTTGAGGACTGTTTACTCGGTCTACATCCATAGTCCTAAGAGGCCTACAGATGTATTTATACTAACATATATCAAATTTGTAAAATATACCTAGTCAAGGTCATTATAATTCCAATTTATCTACCAATTGCTGTATTTCCTTAGTCAGAAGGAGTTCCACAGGCTACAGGCATTGCAGAAATCCCGAGAGAGGAAGCTGACTCGAGAATAATACCTACCTAGTTCTAAACTATATGGTTCACAGATACTATTTTTTACATTTTGATACTTAAGTGATAAAATTCAATTTTCCATGGGAAACACATCTAGCTAAACAGTTCTGTGTCAAGAAAGACATTCACATTACTGCGTGACATTCACCACCATTCTTCTCCAGAAGTCTCACTTTCTACCCACTAAACAAGTCCCATCTCTCTTTCCCCAGACTCTGGTGACGAACCTCTGTGGATGTGATAATTCAGGTTTTCGTGTGAGCAGTGTCAGTGTTTGTCCTCTGGGGCCTGGCTTATTTTTATTTCACTCTTTTAAAGGCCCTCTATACAAATACACCACACTTCACCCTCCCATGCACATAGCAACAATCACTGGATTGTCTCACTGTGCACCAATATCTCCAGTTCTCACTCTCATCCCTTTCAGGTATGTTTCCAAATGCTGAATGCAGGGTGAGAATCTCGTGTTAGAATTCGGTGAGGAATTGCCTTCCGATTTGCACCACGGCGGTACCATTTTATATCCCTGCTAGAATGAACAGGCTTTTCTACTCTTCCGTGTTATAAGGCAACACCTGCTGTTTTCCATAAGGCATTTGTTTGTTTGTAATAACTATCTAATTGTTGATAGTTGTGTTTTTAGAGATAACCACCCAAACCTGTGCATTCAAAAGATTCAGGTGGCCATTGAAGTTCCACTGTGTTAAAAAAAAAAAAAAAAAAAAAAAATGGTCAGTCAACTCCATTTCCTGTGTTCTTTTTCTCTCCTGTAAAACAAAGAGAATGGCAAATATGTCTCCAGGATTCTCTTGAAGGTCTTCTGAAAGAATACTTGCAAAGTCATTAGTCCACACTTAGAAAAGATGCTTTTCACCCTTACTTGTTCTCAAACCTCTCTCCTGCATGATTGTATCTACGGTAGCTCATGGCCTAACACACAGTCAGTATTCCTTGACTGCTGTGGTACATAAAATAATTTGTGAAACACAGAGCACATTCTTTTGACCATAGTGATCCTTGAGACATTCCTAATTGAGAGGAACTGAAAATCAATATGAGAGCCTTGTTGCTCCATAATCCACTGACTGCAATGAAATCTTTATCAATATGGGAAGAACTTTATTGCTCTCATTCCCTAAAGCAGCTTCACTTGTGCTCTGAAAATGATTTTATTTTTCTCATAAAGTTATAAATTACAGTATCTCTGTGGGTGGGTCTCAAGACAAATATTTGCACTGGAGAAACTACCTGACCAGTGCCACAGAACCTGGTGACTTGGGTTAGTAGCAGTGCATGTGACACTAATGCCTTCAGTGTCTAGAAACTGCTTTCATTCTAGATGGTCTAGACCCAGGAATGCAAAGATGATAGAATTGTAACCTCAAATGAAAGGTTCCTAAAGTACCTAGATGAGTAAGGAACACATTTATAGATCTACAAGAGCACAAAAAAGGGTTTTGATTTATATATTCATTTATACTTTAGTTTACCTTTGGGTTTTTATCTGATAAAAAGAAATTTGAAATTATGTATCTTCCATGTAGTTTGGGTTAATTTATGAAAAGAATCAATTAAAAAATACTGAGAAAAGTAAGGAAGCAAATAGTGAGTGGCCATGTATTCTTATATGCAATAGTGCAGAGTATTTATGAATTTTTACATATAAATTATATGTACATATAAAATATATTGTACATATAAAATAGCTAGTTTTATAAAAAAAAAAATATAGCCAGTTCAGACAGTTCATCATCCATCCTTCACCCTGTGTTTCTAAAAGTGAGGCAGAATATTTTACTTCCTGTCTGAAGGAGCTCTTGATCCTTTTGTTTACAAAGCTAAAATAGAATACTGCTAAAAAATTGTAAATATTTTCAATAATGTGAATGGTTTTAATCCTACTAGAGACATTTTTTAGTCTAGAGGCTTGATGTGACTTCCCCTGATGATCATGGTCACTATCATTCTTATCTCCAGTTTTCAGCAGTGGTGACAAAAAGCAATTCGACTCAGGGTCCCAGTTCCTCTCAAGGGTTATTAATGTTCTCACTAGAAACCGAGAGGTGGATTTTCTCCAGGGTGAAGGATAGCCTTGGTTTTAGTGTTTGGACCCACTCAGGCAGCTGGTGCTCTTAGGTGCTATCAGAGCTAACAGATCAGCCTTCTACCTGTTCAAGAGCTCCTGCCTCTTGCCTGAGTCTAAAAAAATAAGCTGCAAGTAATTTCTCCCCAAATAAACATCCATCAGCCTATTTGTTTTCCCAGATTCTTATTTATCCATGATATAACTGCTTGGTTTTGAGAATATTTTAGAGGCTCGCCGGCCTTGTTATCCTCCTCTCTGAATCTTTTGGGTAGAAAATTGACCAGGAGAGGAGTCTTGAGTGTACATTCACACTGACATCTTTCCCAATATCTTAGC